GGGCGGAGTATAAATAATAATATGTTGTTGTTGTTGTTGTTAAACAAGGTATAAACTGTATCCCTCAATATATTCCTCAGAGTGGTTGTGAAGCCAAGTAGCTGAAAACCAAACTCCCTCCCCCACATTTTTGACTCCCTAGAAATATGCAAAAGTGACTGCAAAACAATTAACCCAAAAGGCAAATGTACATAGCAAAAAATGGTGTTTTGAAGAATTTTAAGGATATGATTAATGTGTACTTCCCGCCCCCCTTTCCCAATTGTTTTCTTTTTTAAAAAATTCAGGGTGAGGGGAGGAGAACATTCATTATCTACTAGTCACACTCAACAGAGTTTCAGATCAGAAGCCAAACATTGGGTATCATCTGACAGTTTTAAGCCTGTATAGTAGAGATGGAGAAACTTTCTTTCTACAATTGATTTTGTTTTCATAGAAACCTACCAAAAGGAAATGCCTTAGAAGCCTTAGAAGCCTCACATTTCAGACACCAAAGAGCGTTCAGACCCATGCCTAGGGATGTGGGTAGAATGTTAATTTGGTAAGCTAAATTTCACAAAATGTGGGGAGAGTGGCGCCTTACTAATGCGAAAGCTGACTATCTGGAAGACAGGGTGAGTCAAATCCTCCCTGTAAACTTTTATCCCAGGACGAATTTCCCCAAACCAGTGTGGTGGGTAAGTGGATTAAAAGATTGAATTTATGTTTGTTATGACCTTAAACAGAAGAATTGCCTTCCTGACTCAAACATTTCATTTTATTTCCAGCAGTGGCTATGCTGGAAGCTCAGAGATGAGGCATGAAGTAGAAGACATGAAAATACCTACTGAGCCAGACAATCAATGCAGCTCAGTTATATACACATGAGCATTCTACATCTTGGTGCTCCCAGATGGTGTTGGGCTACAACATTCATCCGCCCTTGCCAGCATGGACAATGGACAGGGATGATGGGTGCTAGTGCCCAAAACATCTGGAAAGCATCAGGTTGGAGAAAGCTGATTTACACTGGCTAGCAGCAGATCACTGGGCTTGCAGTGCAGAAAGATGGCATGAATTAAATAGAGGATCTCTTGCATGTAACTGAGCTACAGCCTTTCCCTTAGGCCATGAGCCAAGGGGAGAAACCATAAACCAGTCTCCTCCAAGCTGGCACCCTCCAGATGTTGTGGACTATAACTCCCACATGTCCCAGCCTCCATGCCCAATGGCCATGTATTATGAGAGGTGTAGTCCACAACATCTGGAGAGTACCACATTGGCTATACATGCCTTGCACCTTCCCCTGGCCTTTATAGTCTGGTGCAAAAGATGTATATTCTGAACATGGATGCTTCATTTCTCTTCCTTCACCTCCTCAGACTGCTCAGACCCCTCCCCATTCTCCAACTATGGCTCCTGCCTTGCGGAAGACACAAAACCCCACAAATTGCTACCCCCTTCCTCTGGTTCAGCCTCTGGCTCTGCTACCTCTTCCATTCGCTCCTCAGAACCCTGCTAGTTCCTGACACATTTGTACATTAACTGGTTAGATTAACCCAATCTAATCAACTTTGGTAAGTTTGAACTATGGTTTAACAAGAAGCAAAGATCAGAAAATGTAGTTTGATCTTTACTTGTTTCAATGGACCATGGTTTTTAGCTTAACCAGTGTCTGCCATTCCTCAATATATAGATAAACTGCGGTTAGCTTAAAGGAGGTAGTGGATGCTTCTGATCTTCTTCTCAAGAGCACACCAGAGGAAAATACAGTTATGAAACTAAGGCTCAAGCAGGCTCATCCATGTAACATTAACATATGGTTTTGCATTATGTTTAAAACAGGCCAATGAATGAAGTACCTCTCTAAGATTAAAGAAAGGCTCACCATCGTACAATAGAAGGGAAACAAAATTTTAGTATTGTGCATATCCACACATCTCACTGTTATACAGCATTCATGAATAGGAAATGAAGGCACGCAGGTTTATAAGTGTTTGACAATTCCTATTCTAAAGAGTTCACTAGAAACTTTTAAGAGGAGAATCTCTAATTCCCTTAAATTACTGATAATGGCCCAAGCAAATGGAGAACAATTGTGATGAAAATTGAATGCTACCCAAATTCCAATTTGTTGTGCCTCCTGAATTAATACTTTGTGCCTATTCCTAGTCTCCTGCAGTATAAACTAAATGGTGCCCCAAGCCATTTCTTTATTTATGCAGCTTCCAAATAATGCTCATTATCACTATAATAATCATATCCCCTTGTATCAAGTCTGTATGCACCACTTTGCATTTAATAAACAAACTTAAAATTATTAGTTGCATTTATTATTCAAAACAGTATTGGTATGGAAATTAGGTAACAAAGTTAATGCCCAGCCCACTAATGCAATCTGCAAATTGTACAGAAATGGCAATAAAATCTGAGTGTGTTGGTGGATAGGGAAATCAGATTGTCTGCCATGACAGTCTATCAAGAGTTCTTCTCACTTCGGGGAAAACATGAGATTCTGGTGGTTTTTTTGTTTTTGTTTTAAAGGTAGACTATGCAACCATGCAGGTGTGGTATAAATCCCCTGTTTTAAAACTATTATGTTTACATACATCACTCTTTATAAAAAAAAATCTGCCCATTCCTTCAATAGGGGAACAAGGCAGCCTAACAATATGAAAGCCAGCCCATGTTCCTCCAACCCATAACTACAAGCTGGACTCAAGGAATTTTTTAGAGAGAAGCAGGGTGGTACCGAGAATGGTGGAAGTACAATTTTGTAAGATAAAAATTTTAAAAAATCTGGAGACTGTGGACGTATGAATAGCCTTACTTTATCAGGTCCTGCATCTAGTCCTGCAGCCTCTTCTCACAGTGGACAACCAGATGTCAACCGGAAGCCCACAAATAAATACATCAGTGCAACAAAACTCTCCCCACTTGTGATTCCCAGCAATTGGTAAGGAAGTATATTGACTCTAACAGTGGAGGTAGAACATTGTCATTCTGGCTATTAGGCATTGGCAACCTTATCCTCCATGAGTTTGCCTAGCCCAGCTTTAAAGTCATTCAAGTATGTGGCTATCGCTACATCTTGAGGGAGCGAATTCCAGTTTAATAATGGGCTGCGTGAATAACTTTCTTTTGTATGTCCTGAACAGGGAATGAAATGGATGGATAGAAGATTGAATAAAGCAATAGGAGAGACTAGACACTATGCTGGGAAAGTGAAAAGATCCACTGCAATAAAGGGTGTATGGGGTGTTAAGGGAGGGGTATTATCTCTGGTGGAGGATTTGCCATCCTCCTTCTGGGGTAGTCTGCCTACCTTTGGTCACCACCCTGTTCTCAGCTCTCACCTGTGGCTCCTAGAAGCTGTCAGCATGTGGTAGTGACCATACCCCAAGAACAGCTTCGATTGGCCAGCAAAACCAGGTGAGGGTAGCCAATGGGTATCAAACCCTCATTCAGTTAGGGACTTCCTCTGCATGCAAAGACAGGCTCTGATGGATTGAGTTACTGACAGGCGGCACTTTTTAGTGCTTTAGTCTCCCACTAAGTTGTCTCTAAACCACTATTATTTGCAGCAGAAATACAAATAATCAGTCTTAAATGTGCATTAAGCTTAGAAAACCCCAATTTTCTCACAGACAACTGGCAAATACCATGAAAGGCAAAACTTGTCACATTTATTTTTCTGTGAAATACTCACTTGCATTCTAATTGGGAGTGCCCATGTAAATGACATGAAAAATTGTTTGTAGCCAGCCGTCAACAAGAAAAAAAGGGAGGGTGCCTGGCAGAGGGCAAGGGAAATGCGTAGTTGTTTATGAGTGCATGTCATCCCCTAATAAATACTAATGCTCTGCAGTTGGCCCCCTTGAGTAGAAAAATAATGTTGATGTTGGGGTCTAGAATTGCAGCTTTCAACATGCCCACATAGGAAGCCGCCTTGTAACTGGAGAGGATTATTTATCCGTCTAATTCACTGCTGCCTTTTTGGTATTTAAGTAGCTCTTCTGGGTCTTATGCCCCTGTCTTTCCCATCACTTGCCACCTGAGCCTTTTAACAGGGAATGCCAGGGATTGAATCTAGGACAAAGCATGTACTCTGCCACAAAGCTATGGTCTGTCCTGCTGATGTTATGATGCTTATTGACTGCACATTTTCCTTCATCAGAAATAGAGCAGAGTTCTGTTAAAAAGCTGTCATCATCCCCAGCAGCTTAGACTAAAGGTTAGCTGCTCTGCTTTTGGGACATAGCTTATAATAATAAGAATAATCGGATGCCTTCATCTGACCCACCTGCAACAAAACATGTCTCTCCTGTATCACTCTTTACAGCCACAGCAGGCGCTGTAACTTTCCAATAGTTTGACTTCACCCCACAGGCACACACTTCCATTGTCTCCCGAGACAGATGGATGCCAGCACAGTACAATAAGAACATAAGAAGTGCTAACAGCCCCTCTAGTCCAGCATCTACCATTGCTAATGGGCATTGATTATTTATTACTTATGTATCCTTGACCCTAAAGTTCCAGGGCAGGTGACAGCAATTTAAAATACAGTTTAAAATTAATTACAATCACAAGAATAGGGCAGCCAGAGTAAGGAGGTGGTCAAAGGCCAGGGTAAAGAGGTGGGACTTTAGTATACAATGGTAACTGTATAGTGAAGATGCTAGACTCTTAATAAATATATCACACAGATTATAACCATGTCTTCATTGCTAGTTGGCCTCCTCCTGTCTCAAGAGACAATGGAGTGTGCCTCTGGATGCAAGCCTGGGCAGTGTATATGGAGGTCCTGGGCTGCACAGATGACAAGATCCCCCTCGCGGCCTCACTAATGTGGTCCAAAGGAAAGCAGAGCAATATGTTTGTTATAAAATATTACAACAACAACAACAACAATATTTTTTAATTTATTTAATAAAGTTTTGCACCACTTAGAATCATAGAACTGTAGAGTTGGAAGGGACCATGAGGGTCATCTAGTCCCTACAACGCAGGAATCTTTTTGCCCAATGTGGGGCTCGAACCCACAACCTTGTGTCTCATGCTCTACCGACTGAACTATCCTGCAGGCTCACTTGATTGTTTTTTTAAAAAAACCAAAAACCTCAAAGCAGTTTAAAAATAGAATATGAATACCAAACTTCTGTGGAACAAAGAATGGAGAGACTACTGCCTTTGTGTCTTGCTTTGGGGCTTCCCAGAGGCACTGTGATTGGTCACTGGAAAATGGAATGCTGGATTACATGGGCGCTTGGTCTGAACCAGAAGGACTGTGATGTAGAGGATGCCCACTAAATCTTAGGGCTTCTGCTGCAGCACAATAAAAGAAGCCATCCCTGAAGTATGATAGCAATGCATCTAAAAGAACATGTCACAGAAATATAAGCAATAACTTAGACCAACAGGTAATTTCAGTTCCAAATAACTACTGCTTTTGCAATTAATGCACGGATAAAATGTATGCTAGCGAAAATTAAGTTTAGTACAGAATTCAATTTTCTTTTTGGAACCCAAAATCTAGGCCAATCACAGCATAAATATAAGCACTGCATGAAATTAGGCCAATTTAAATGCATGTATGCAGATGCTAGCATTGTTCAACTAATTAAGGCAGTCCAGTTGCACTTTTTAAAAAGAGGGATTGAAATTATTTTATTGAGAACATGAGTTTCTGTAGACAATTACCAACTTCATGAGATACTAGAATGAAACTCATTTATTGCCTAATTATCTAAACACTTCTAACTAAATTTCATGAACTAGTGTAAAGCATTTGATGAAATATTTCCCATTTGTTTAAACTACAATTTATTACACTGAAAGACAACTCCAATGAAATGGATGCTTTCTAGGGTTGCCACCTTTGGTCAGGCAAAATAAAAGAGAGGTTGGGCAAAATAAGGGTCAGGTCAGGGGGAATTAGGGGGCTAAAAATTCCTTTCTCTGGTGCAGAAATGACTTCAAAGCAACCCATTGCAATGGCACATGGTGTTTACAATGGGGGAAAACAGGCCCATGCAACACAGAGACACCTGTCTCTCCCTCTCTGACTCAGAGTCACCAGACTCAAAGTCACCATCACCGACTGCACACAGAACTCTCCCCTCCCACCGCTCTCCACTAGGGCGGTGCAAACCCCCTCTCTTGCTCTCCAACCCACCCACCACCCTCCCTGCCCACGCAAAACCCAAGACTCCACTGAAGCTATAATTTTGATGTATGCTATTTTTGCTTTTATGCTGCTCCACTAGTTTTAAAGTATTAAACATGTCTAATAGGTCTGTGGCTATAATGCTTGGGTTGTTAATGTTGTATTTTGATTTTGTTTCATCATGAGCCAACTTGAAAGGATTTTGGTACTAAAAAGCAGCATAAAAATCACTGTAGTAATTAATAAAAAAAATAAAATGGACCCAACTGTCTGACCTGGTAAGGAAACCTACTAGGTTAAAGCTTTAGCTTGAGCCCACTGAATACTACTGGGTTGGTGTTGAGGTAAATTCCCAAAATCTTAATTTGCCATACTTCATGGGCCTGTCTCTCTAAACTCCATAACTGCTTCATATCTCAATGGATAAAATAAAAAGTGGGGTGGTGGATAATCCTGCCAAAGGAAAGCAAAAAGCTAATTCTCAGCTAGAGGACATAAAATCCAGCATATAGAATATTGCAGTACTGTACAAGACAGTAAATCATACATTTTCGCATCTAGAAAGCTAAATCATGGAAGCTGACAGTTAAAGCTGTTTAATGCATTACATATATCAAAGCTCAACAGCAAAGAGTTTAATAGTAAACCTGACCCACATAAAGAAATGCAAGTTCTGCCTGCAATCATCAAAATGAGAGATAAGTGAGCTCCCCCAGGCTCAATTTGGATTGGGATTGGCAACTGCAGAGAATGCTCGGAAGAAAGGTTATTTTTCCTGAGAATTTAAAATTTGCTGGGCTGATGTGAGTCCCAAACCTCCTCTCCCATGAGCTTCCTTCGACTTGTCATTAATGGCAGTGATAGTTGCCATGGCCATGGCAGTGGGAACGGACACCACTCTCCTTTCTTAAATTTTACCTCTCTAGAGTCAATTTGAGAAGCAAGCATGTACCCATCCCTAGTGAACTCAATGTACAAAAAGAGTTAAATCTGTATCTTTTCTCTCTTTACCTAACGCTTTTCCTGCTTCTTACAGAAAGAGACACCTCCAAGCAGCTTACAAACCAAACATTGACGCATTAAAGTATGTGTGCATTCCACAACAAATCCCTAGAAAGTAAAACATCCAATAACTATATAAAAACATGCCTAAAATAAATTTGTGCGAGAAGATTAAACACTGGGGACCTTTCAAGGAGGCCTTGCAAAGCTGAAATTCAGCCAGCAAGGAAGCTCTGTATCAAGACATCAGTGGTTTTATACTTCACAGCCTGAAGACACAATGGGTAGGACTTACCTTAATGTGTGTGCTCATGACAAACTGTTGTTATAAAATTATTAATAGTAATATCATTTAGGTGTTGCTTTCCCCAAAAGAGGTATCAAAGGAACCTCCATATCTAATATATAACAATCATCGTCATTAGGTACTGAACAGGCCTGCTTAGCTTCAAAGTTGCTATGCAATGTGCTTTTAGATAATAACCCTGGATCCAGCCTAGGACCACATTAACCTATCTTTGTCACAAACATGTCACAAATACTGGGCCAGTAGCTCTTCCTGAGTCACACTTCTTCTATTTCAAGATGGACAGGGATTACTTACTTAGAAATATCTTACCACTTTTGGGGGATGGAGAGAAGGGGAGAGCAAACTCAAAATGGGATTGCAAAGCAATTTCTCACACTAAAGGGAAATGAAAAATAAATACAGTCAAGACAGATAAACAAAAAAAATCCTTATCAAGAGCTGCAAAAAGGAGCGATTTTTATCTGCTGGGCTTCGGTGCTTACAAAATCACGCATGAGAGAGGCTAGCAGAAATTGTCATCATCAGTTAAAGGTGGTAGGAAAGCACCTGACTTTATTTTAAAAGAAAGTGAATTTATGGAGAAGGTAAGGAGGTACGTGACCTACTAAATTAAATGCTAAATTTCTGGGGAACTGTTTCTGGCATGTGATGCATATGACTAGATGCAGTTTTCCCTCTCCTGCTTCTGGGAGGGTGGGTGTTACTTTTCACGGAAGAGGCTAACACAGACGGCCCCCTGGATAGCTGAGGGAAAAGAAACAGCTGTGCTCCAGCCCTAGTTTGTTATCTGCTTCAACTCTCCCTTGATGAGACAGCACCACAGGGTGTATCCACAGATGAAATCTCTCGGCCCACCTACTCACGCTTCTCTGGTCTCAAGGGGATGACATCTGTTTGTGAATGGAAGAGAACAACACAAACCGCCTGCTGTGGGTGGTTCCTTTTCAGCTTCATCAACACCTCAGGCGAACGGTCTCTGTGGGGCTTCACATGACCATCGAACTCATAGAAGCTGCTTAGAATTAAGCTTTTCCCATGCCACTGCTAATGGCAAACATAAAACAAAACAAAACCCAGTAGAGTTGCAGTGATGTGCAAAATCCCCACTATTCAGTGCAGCCTGAACACAAGCACAAGGCTAATCCAGAAAAGTTGGATTTGTGACCATTATGCTCATTTGCCTTCAGTAAACTCTGCTGAATGAAGCTGATTGCCTCAGAGTTATTTTTGGGGGAACCCTGCTCACTATACAGCGAGGTCTGCTCTGGATCAATATGGAGCAAAACCATGTCATGATGTAGATCATAGAGTACTGAACTAGTGTCAGAGAAACCCAGGATCAAAACACCACTCAGATATCCACAGGATTTTGTTGTTGGGGGACGCCAAGCCAAACTATGAAAGGGGGAGCAGGCTAGTTTCTCATAAAGAAGGAAGAAGAGGGGGAGGCCAGTACATTTTGCTTCATACTCCAGGTCCTACAAATGCTAAAATCATACTTTTTAATGGTTCATTGGGGGGGATCTTCCCCTTGCCCCCACCTCAAAGTGCCCATGTCTCTGGCTCAATACTGGAGGCAGCTCTCCATGGTTTCAGGTAGGGTTCTCTCACATGCCTATCTAGAGGTCCCAGGAATTGAAACTGTGAACTTCTGCATGCAAAGCAGATCATCTACCACTGAGCTTTGGCCCAGCTACCATCTCACGTTTAGCCAATCTCACAATCCTAATGGGGTGGGGTGGGGGAGTGTTGAAATCTTGTACATCCCATCTCCTAGAAGGAAGGACAGGGTAAAATTCTAACATACTTGTTCCATTACCGGTATCTAAACTTTCTACTGGACTTTGAATGTGTGCCTTTTGAAACAGCACTCAATCTGACAATTTTTGAAATAAAATTGGTAAGGGCAAGTGACGAAGTACTGTATTTTTCCCTCTATAAGAGGCACCAGACCATAAGACGCACCTAGTTTTTGGAGGAGGAAAACAAGAAAAAAAATATTCTGAATCCCAGAAGCCAGAACAGCAAGAGGGATCGCTGCACAGCAATCCCTCTTGCTGTTCTGGCTTCTGGGATAGCCACACAAAGCCTGTTCAGGGCAGGGGGAGCCTTCTGTTCTGGCTTCAGCAATAGCTGCGCAGCCTGCATTCATTCCATAAGACACACACACATTTCCCTTTACTTTTTAGGAGGGAAAAAGTGTGTCTTATAGAGCGAAAAATACGGTAGATCCAGGCCAGGCTGGGGAAGAATTTGGCATATCAGGTACAGACAATATGACAATGCATGAAAAGAGCCAGGGTAGAACCACCTGTGCAACAGTAGAGCCATAATGGGACAAGAACATAAGAAGAGCCTGCGGGATCAGGCCCATGATCCATCTAGTCTGGCATCCTGTTCTCACAGTGGCCAACCCTTTGTCTGTGGGAAACCCACAAGCAGGATTCAAGTACAAGAGTCCCCTCCCGTGGTTTCCAGTAACTGTTATTCAGAAGCATTATTGCCTCCGACTGTGGAGGCAGAGTACAGCCATCAAGCAGAGTAGTTGCTTTGTCGTATCACACAGTTGGAAAGGGCGATGAGGGTCATTTAGTCCAACCCCCGGTCT